AAAAAAAAAAAAAAAAAAAAAAAAAAAAAATATATATATATATATATATATATATATATATATATATATATATATATATATATATATATATATATATATATATATAATTATCTATCCTTGCAAAGGTGCACTAAACAATTCACTATTAGCATTATATACTCACCTTCAAAAAAAAAATAGAACCAACTATAAGATTAATAATAATTATGGAGAAGTTTATAATAATAATAATATTTTAATATTATTATAAAATAAGAATTAGCGTAACAAGCAGAGATGTAATAGGGGAGATAGGAGGGTCTGGTATAATGGAAGGTAGCTCTGGGAAGAAATGGGCATAGTTCAACTGGAGAGGGTGGATGAGAGGCTGATCAGAAATCTAAATTTATAAGTTGTCAATTGAGAATGTTTTAAACCTGAAAGTGGTGTTCTCATGCAGGATTTACGGTAAGTGGAAATAGAGTTAACTGTGCAAGCTTATCATAATCAGACAGATGCTGTAATGGGCCGTCCTTTGTTAGATTGAATAATCGTCACTGGAAACACATGTATTAATTCCCCCTTAGTTGCAAATTGATGATTGTTTCCATGGCATCTTCAGGGTAGTCTGGTACTTAGTTAGGTCAGCCCATCTCCTGTAGAAACAGATCTCAAGTTAATTCCCTAACAATGCAGTGGAGAGAGAATATGATATCATAAGTAATTACATGTATGACTTGCATTTTCTTATTATCAGCTTGTGATCTCTATCAAAACAGAGTGCACTGTCGTCATATTGCTTTATACATTGTATTGTTCTGCAGATTGTTTAAGTTTCAATCAACAGTGTGTTGCCAGAACCCTTGAAATTTTAACTTCAAAATTTATATCCTTTTTCCAGCCTTCCAGAGAGCTTGCAGAGCAGGTAAGGGACGGAGACAGAGTGGTAGCTCTACATTAGCCACAGTTATATGTTCTTTGATTTATCATGATCGGTTTTATAAGCTGTTCTGCTTTATATATATAATTTGTAGGTAGTGTTAATGTTGACAGTAGTATTCTAAATAAATAAATAATTGAATAAAGATAAACAAAATAATTATGTGTTAACATAAAATATCACTACATGGAAGTCAAGTAATGGAACCTGCTGGGTAGATATTTTTGTAAATTATCAATTATAGACATTTATTTTTCATTCTTTCAGACTTTAAACCAAATTCAAAAGTTTAAGAAATATCTTGAAAACCCAGTTATCCGAGAGGTGTTGTGCATTGGTGGTATAGCAGCTAGGGACACTATTAATAGTCTTATGGATGGGGTGGGTATATCTGTGTGTTTGCATGTGTGTGTGTGCACGTTTGGTGTATTTAAGTTAGTGTGGATTGAGTTAGATTATTTGTGGTGATTTTAGATACATAATTGTGTAGTTTGTGATTTCATATTACCAATGGAGGAACCACATAAACAGCATAATATATACTTAACAAATTGGAATATATTTTAGACCCCATTCCCATACCTAGACGATCTAGCAAGATTGACCCATGTCCAAGGGGATTCTTGTTAAATTACATGCAGCTTAAGTGGCTTAGATGTCTGGCATGCCTACTGAAGCTGCTAAATGATAGTTAATAACACCTAACAGCTTCAGTAGGCTTGCCAGACATCAGAGCCACTTAAGCTGAATGCAATTTAGCGAGAGTCCCCTTGGAGATGGGTCGATCCTGCTAGATCAATCCAGGTATGGGAATGGGGTCCTAGATATCAAGTGTTATTTAGTATGAACGCTTTAGGAAAATGTGTGTAGAAAAGATAATTTTAGATATATTGTGACCACTACAGGTGGACATTGTGGTTGGGACACCAGGTCGCTTGGAGGACCTTATCTCCACTGGGAAATTACTGCTGTCTTCTGTCAGATTCTTTGTTTTAGATGAAGCTGTAAGTATCAAGATTGATTCCATAATTGAAGTCATTTTATTTGAATTCATTTGAATGAAAATCCTTGATAGGATCTCTGAAAGTGTTTATAGCTATACAAAAGTACAATTTTGACAAAGTATCATTTAACATGAATGTTCATTTGGAAAGCAGATGGATTTGATTTTGAGTTCACGTTGATTTAAAGTTTCAATAATTCAAAATATTTTTTGATTTAAATTTCTTCCAGGATGGTTTACTCTCTGCGGGAAACAAAGATTTGATTGATAGAATTCATCAGCAGATCCCAAAGATTACTAGTGATGGCAAACGATTACAGATGGTTGTCTGTTCTGCAACTCTGCACTCTTTTGATGTGAAGAAACTGGCTGTAAGTTCTGTTGCTTTTTTACAAAAATGATAATGATAATAATAATAAAATAAAATAAACAACAATAATAATAATAATAGTAAAGTAAAGGGAAAAACATTAGTTCTTAGTTTTCAGCAGTAGCCTTAGTATCTGTTTCTAATTAACCAAATGTGGATATTTGAAAAAAAAATACATCGAGAGATGTACAAGTGATAGACTTACAGCATTTGTATTGTGACTGCTGTTTTACATGTATTTATAATGTTTAGAATGCTTTTAAGAAGCGCTTATGCAATTTGGTGTTTACTCCTTGAAGCTATTCCTCAGACTGTTGAAAAAATATGCCGTGGTGTTTAGCTTTGCTGTTGAAGCAGAAAATGTGTTTGGGAAAAGAAATTAAGCTATGGGAATCCCCACTAGGGGGACATATTTACCCAATTACTGATGAGGACCAAACATCTGATCTATTTATTCATTTAAATTTGTAAAGTAATTCCCAGACAGC